TACAATTGAGAATCCCTGTTCTAAACCCAGATGAGATCAATCAATGGGTGGAATTTCAATTTTCCATTGAAAAATGGAAAAACTATTTGGGGCACAGAAAGCCTCAAATCATTTGCATCACTCTCAGTCCACCCCCTGCAGCCTCCAGCCTCTTCCCTTAACCGTCAAAAAAGGCTGTCTATCCTTAAGGACCTCATTATTTTAGTTACGGTTTTATTTTATTTTGTTTTATTGTTTTTAAAAATTTTTTACTTATTATTTTATTTATTACTAGCTGGATACCCATGCTGCACAACGAAACCAAGTGATTGGGCCAGCCATGCGCTGGCCACACCCATATAAGGCAAGTGGCATTTGGAACAGAGTTCCTTTCAGGTGGGAAGGGGGAGTAGAATGTCTAAACTCCAAGCCAGCAGGCTGGATGAGTCACACACGCTGGCCACGCCCATATAAGGCAAGTGGCAGTTGGAACAGAGTTCCTTTCAGGTGGGAAGGGGGAGTAGAACGTCTAACTCCTTAGCATCGACACATGTTAATATAATACTGTATAAGAAATACTGATGATCTGATGGTCATTTCCTTTCTAAACGGGCACCTAGAAGCCAAGAGGAACATACATGCCCAATTTCATCTTTGTAGACTTTACAGTTCTGGAGATTTTGTGATGAGTGAGTGGTATTTGGCTTTTATATATATACATAGATTTTATTTTATTTATTTATTATTTTATTTATAAAATTTATCGGCCGCCTATCTGGCTTCTTCACCCTTAAATAAAGCTAAAGAGGCCACAGAAACAAGATCCGGTGGTTAGAGATTCGTATTTATTCTGAACCAGGATTTGGCCCCGTGGCCAGCTCCAGATTTGGGATTCTCACGGCCTTGTGGCTCATCCTGACATGATTTCATGACTTGGGAGTCCTGTTCCCCTTCTAGGGCAGCCAACCCGCCTCCTTTACCTGCAGGTGCTCTTCGATGTCCTTCCGGTCGTAGGTGATGCCACTCGGCGTAATGCAAGGCTCCCGCATCAGTTCAAAACTGATCTTCCCACACAGGTAATCAGGGATGTCCCGTTTCTGGCCCAAAAGGAGAGAATATTACTCGGTATTTCTAACTCAGCATCAAGCTTCTAAACTGCAGGTTCACCCTTTTCATTTTCTAAGGATGGCTCAAAAGTATAATATTAGATTGTAGCTGATAACCCAGCGTTGCCCAGCATTTATTTATCCTAATCCATATATTTGTCCTCAAAAATAATCCCGGACCAAATGTAATTTCTAATGTTGGATTTTCCCCTGTACCAGAGGGACCCCCTTTGTGGAGTACTGTGAAGCCATTACCATGGCAACTCCACTATGCTGTACAGTAGAAGGCATTTGAAGGCAGTACAGTAGAAGCCATTCGAAGGCACAACAGGCTGTATCTTAACAGAACACACACCCCGAGGGGTTTTAGTGGTGTCTTACCCCCACAATTTGTTTCCAGAGAGTAAGTCACCAGTGTACCAAGTTTGGTTGAAATTTCTTGAGGCGTTCCACAGTTATTGCTGGAACATACACACACAGCCATTTAGATACATATAGATCCATCCATCCATCCATCCATCTCTCCAAGATGGGTGGCAAAATAAATTCAAATAAATTCAATACGTAAATAAGACTCACCTTTCTCTTCTCGTCCACCTGGGAGAAGAGTTCATCCATGTCTGCTAGATATTTTTCCTGAAAGAGAAATTGGATCCTTTTCGTTATCATGAACATTAAAAAAAAAAGAGTTGTCTTGGGTGGCTTTCAAAGAGGAGCGAACTGATTCCTGGAAGACTCTAGGCAAACCCATGTTACGCTCTGGGCTGGGGGCCAAATATCCATTGTAGGGAGAGACCACCCCCCACCCCCACCCCTGCTTGCAAGCACCCAAATGGGTGCCTGTAGAGCAGTGGTTCTCAACCTGTGGGTTGGGACCCCTTTGGGGGTCGAACGACCCTTTCACAGGGGTCGCTTCCAAGTATGGAAAATATAAAATAATGTTATGGTTGGGGGGGTCACCACAACATGAGGAACTGTATTAAAGGGTCGCGGCATTGGGAAGGTTGAGACCCACTGCTGTAGAGAGTCATGCAGGTGATGGTTGACCCCAAGGTGCTTTTCTCAAGAGGCAACTGGACTTTCTGTTTTTTTCTTTGAAGACGTTTCACTTCTCATCCAAGAATCTTCTTCAGCTCTGACTGGACAATGGGGACTGGAAGGATTTATATTCCTTGCAGACAGCTGGTCATTTGGATCCTTTTAGAAGGACGTTGAGGCCACTTGGAGGTTTATCTGTGTCCTCAGGGTCACCTGAGTGGTGCAAATAGTTCCTGTAGTCTGCATTTTTTCCCCTCTGGAAATCCATTGCTATTCCCACACATTCCAAGGGTCTTCATCCCAAATTGCATAGCTCAAAAGGATGTAGAGATTCTCCGTCATCCAGGTCACGGTTGTCCCAAAGGTGCTTTTTCAGGAGGCAACTGGACTTCCTTGTTTTTCTTTTGAAGACATTTTGCTTGTCATCCAAGAAGCTTCTTCAGCTCTTACTGGATGGTGGGAAATGGAAGGATTTATATTCCTTGCAGACAGCTGGCCATTTGCATCCTTTGAGAGGGTCTATGAGGCCACTTGGAGGTTTGTCTGTGTCCTCAGGGTTCCCTGAGTGGTGCAAATGGTTCCTGTAGTCTTCAATTTTTCCTCTGGAAATTCATTCCTACTCCCACATCATTCCAAGGGTGTTCATCCCAAATTGCATAGCTCAAAAGGATGTAGAGATTCTCTGTCATCCAGGTCACGGTTGTCCCAAAGGTGCTTTTTCAGGAGGCAACTGGACTTCCTTGTTTTTCTTTTGAAGACATTTTGCTTGTCATCCAAGAAGCTTCTTCAGCTCTTACTGGATGGTGGGAAATGGAAGGATTTATATTCCTTGCAGACAGCTGGCCATTTGCATCCTTTGAGAGGGTCTATGAGGCCACTTGGAGGTTTGTCTGTGTCCTCAGGGTTCCCTGAGTGGTGCAAATGGTTCCTGTAGTCTTCAATTTTTCCTCTGGAAATTCATTCCTACTCCCACATCATTCCAAGGGTGTTCATCCCAAATTGCATAGCTCAAAAGGATGTAGAGATTCTCTGTCATCCAGGTCACGGTTGTCCCAAAGGTGCTTTTTCAAGAGGCAACTGGACTTTCTTGTTTTTTTTTTTTCCTGAAGACGTTTCGCTTCTCCTCCAAGAAGCTTCTTCAGCTCTGATATAAATCCTGAAGAAGAAGCTGAAGAAGCTTTTTGGAGGAGAAGCGAAACGTCTTCAAAAGAAAAAACAACAACAACAACAAGAAAGTCCACTTGCCTCCTGAAAAAGCACCTTTGGGACCCAAATGGAAAGCTACCTTGAAAAGCAGAATCATTGGGCTATATAACAAGCGTGGTTGAATGGGTTTTAAAAGATCAGATATCTTTGGAGAGGGAGGTCAGGAAGAATATGCGTGGCTTTGGAATGGGGGCACGGTGCAGGGGGAGCATTAAATTATGGGGGTGGCACCGAGGCGAAAAGGGTTCGCCATCACTGCTATAGACCCTCTTAGGCCAACTAGGAGGAAAACAATGCTGGTTTGTGGTGGGGGGAAAACAGACACATTTTCCAATGAACATGGTTTTTTTTTTTAAAGGCATCTGCTTTGGCAAATTGCATCCAGCTCTGTTGGAAGAAGACGCAGCCAACTTGCAAACGTTGACCCCAGTCCCCCATTGGCCAATGCAACACAAAAGACGCCCACTCAAGGACAGGGAACAGAGTCTGTGCACCCCACCGGGGGACCAGAGAAGAGGCCCCACAGCTTGGTTCGCTTCTGACCCTCATTCAATGCCACGGAGGGGAGGAGCAAAGGGCCACGGAGGGGTCCTCACGTGTTTGGCTTTGATGTTGGCCAACTGTGCTCGGCTTCGGTTTTCATCCATGTTCTCCTGCTCCTGTGCCCGTTGGCATTCGTCAAGTTCCCTGGAAGAGAGAAGCAAGGTGTGGGGAGGGTGTGGTGGGAGCAGATGTAGTTATGACAGTTGCAGCGTCCTGGGGTCCTGTGATTTTGCAACCTTCTGACAAGCAAAGTCAATGGGGGAAGCAGCTGATAATTGGCATATGGCTCTGGCCCTCTCTCTGCCTCTGACAAAGAGCCCTCGTCCGACCCTTCCCCAGACTCCAGGACTGGCCCATGTTCCTCCCCAACTCCTCACTGCCCGAATCTGCTGCCAGCTCCACTGGCCACTGGTGGGCCACAACAGGAATTCAAAAGTGGCTGGCCTTGGATTGTTTGTGGCAACTTAAGGACTCCAAGCTGATGACTCGCTTAACTCTGCCTCCCAATTCTGCTTGCTCTTTTAGATATCTTGTTGAGATGGGTGGGCTTAAAGAAAGGATGGGTAAAAGTTTCTCTTTAAAAACCACTGGTCATCAGGTCTTCTCCCACCTAGAAGTAGATCTATGCCTTCTCCCAGAGTCTTTCCATCCATGCCCACCGATCCTCTCCCTCTCCCATCGCACCTACCTCTCCTTCTCCGCCATGATGAGCTTGGTGAGATAAGCATGCAACTCGTTCTCCTGGTTGATCCGCTTCTCCTCAATGTTATTCCAACGTTTTTTCTTGGCGATGCGCAGGGCGCTCGGAATGTCGTCCCCAAAGTTCAGCCGCTGCTCTTTGGCTAAATTGTGGGCTGAAAAATGCAAAAAAGAATGAACTGCATGCAACGCCAAGAACAGGAGCGGGAAAAACAAGTTCTCCAAAATCTAAATCTAATCCTCACCGCCCACTCAGCCTGCTCTTCTCACATTCGGCTCAAGTTTGCAATCCCAGGTTGACAAATGTCGCTCCTTTTCAGGTTAGTTTCTTCCCCCCAGTCTGTCATGTCCAAGAGGGGAACTACAGCTGCCATGTGCCCCAGCCAGCTTATGACTACCCAACCCATCTTGGGGCAGCAGAGTCGGAAAGATGTAACCTCATAAGCAGCAGCCATGTGAGTCAGACTGGTGTACAAAATCCAAAGCTCCAAATTTCACCCTTCTCGCAGAATCTATAGAATTATAGAGTTGGGAGGGGCCCCAGAGGTCTTCTAGTCCAACCTCTGTGTCTCTTTCTCTCTGCCTACTCTTCTCCGAGGTTTTCTGAACTGTCTTCGGAAAAGGGTTTTCCGAAGGAACCAAGAATCAGGGTTTGAGAGGGGGGAATCAGGAGAGCTTGGATTTTTTTTTAATGAAAAGCAAAGTTGAGAATGTAGAGTCCATCAAACATGATTGAATTTGAATTTGGAATAGTGAATATGCAAAGTGTTATATGATTTAGTGGGCAGAGAACTTTGGATCTAATGGAAGAATATGTGGATGAAAAGTTTTAAAATTTGTTCTAAATAACAATTTAGAAGAAAAAGTTTATAAGCATTGTCCAAAGCACACTCTCCCTCTCTGTTTCTCTCTCTCTGTGTCTCTCTGTGTGTCTCTGTGTCTCTGTCTCTCTGTGTGTGTGTCTCTCTCTCTGTCTCTCTGTCTCTCTGTGTGTATCTGTGTGTGTGTGTGTGTCACTCTCTGTGTGTCTGTGTGTGTGTCTCTCTCTCTGTCTCTCTGTCTCTCTGTGTGTGTGTGTGTGTGTGTGTCACTCTCTGTGTGTCTGTGTGTGTGTCTCTCTCTCTGTGTATCTCTCTGTCTGTGTCTCTCTCTGTGTCTGTGT